CTCTGTGACTGCCAACAAGGGTTTTGCCACAAGGTACTAAGTCATGTTTTGCAGAGGGGTCAAATACTTATTTCCCTCATTTAAAAATGCAAATCAATTTATAACATTTTTGACATGCGTTTTTCTGGATAATTTTGTTGTTATTCTGTCTCACTGTTCAAATAAACCTACAATTAAAATTATAGACTGATCATGTCTTTGTCAGTGGGCAAATGTACAAAATCAGCAGGGGATCAAATACTTTTTTCCCTCACTGTATACAGGGGGGGTACCAGTGCAGAGTCAATGTGCGGGGCCACCGGCTAGTTGAGGTAATATGTACATGTGGGTAGAGTTAAAGTGACTATGCATAAATAATTAACAGAGTAGCATCAGCGTAAAAAGATGGGGTGGGGTGGGGCCGTGCAAATAGTTTGGGTAGCCATGATTAGATGTTCAGGAGTCTTATGGCTTGGGGGTAGAAGCTGTTGAGAAGTCTTTGGACCTAGACTTCGCACTCTGGTACCGCTTGCCGTGTGGTAGCAGAGAGAACAGTCTATGACTAGGGTGGCTGGAGTCTTTGACAATTTCCTTCCTTTGCCTTCCTCCTTCCACTGCCTTCCTCTGACACCGCCTGGTATAGAGGTCCTGGATGGCAGGAATGTTGGCCCCAGTGATGTACTGGGCCGTACGCACTACCCTCTGTAGTGCCTTGCGGTCGGAGGCCGAGCAGTTGCCCTACCAGGTGGTGATGCAACCAGTCAGGATGCTCTCGATGGTGCAGCTGTAGAATGTTTTGAGGATCTGAGGACCCATGCCAAATCTTTTCAGTCTCCTGAGGGGGAATGGGCTTTGTCGTGCCCTCTTCACGATTGTCTTGGTGTGTTTGGACCATAATAGTTCATTGGTGATGTGGACACCAAGGAACTTGAAGCTCTCAACCTGTTCCACCACAGCCCTGTTGATGAGAATGGGGGCGTGCTCTTACCTCTTTTATTTTTTTTCCTGTTTCCAGTAGTCCACAATCATCTCCTTTGTCTTGGTCACGTTGAGGGAGAGGTTGTTATCCTGGCACCACACGGCCAGGTCTTTGACCTCCTCCCTATAGGCTGTCTCATTGTTGTCAGTGATCAGGCATACCACTGTTGTGTCGTCGGCAAACTTAATGATGGTGTTGGAATCGTGCCTGGCCATGCAGTCATGGGTGAACAAGAAGTACAGGAGGGGACTGAGCACGCACCCCTGAGGGGCCCTCGTGTTGAGGATCAGTGTGGCAGATGTGTTGTTACCTACCCTTACCACCTGGGGGCGGCCCGTCCAGAAGTCCAGGATCCAGTTGCAGAGGGAGGTGTTTAGTCACAGGATCCTTAGCTTAGTGATGAGCTTTGAGGGCACTATGGTGTTGAATGCTGAGCTGTAGTCAATGAATAGCATTCTCACGTAGGTGTTCCTCTTGTCCAGGTGGGAAAGGGCAGTGTAGAGTGCAATAGAGATTGCATCATCTGTGGATCTGTTGGGGTGGTATGCAAATTGAAGTGGGTCTAGGGTTTCTGGGATAATGGTGTTGATGTGAGCCATGACAAGCCTTACAAAGCACTTCATGGCTACAGACGTCAGTGCTACGGGTCGGTAGTCATTTAGGCAGGTTATCTTAGTGTCCTTGGGCACGGGGACTATGGTGGTCTGCTTGAAACATGTTGGTGTTACAGACTGTCAGGGACATGTTGAAAATGTCAGTGAAGACACTTGCCAGTTGGTCAGCACATGCTCGGAGTACACGTCCTGGAAATGTGGCCTTGTGAATGTTGACCTGCTTAAAAGTCTTACTCACATTGGCTACGGAGAGCGTGATCACATAGTCATCCGGAACAGCTGGTGCTCTCATGCATGCTTCAGTGTTGCTTGCCTCGAAGCGAGCATAGAAGTGGTTTAGCTCGTCTGGAAGTCTTGTGTCACTGGGCAGCTCGCGGCTGTGCTTCCCTTTGTAGTCTGTAATAGTTTTCAAGCCCTGCCACATCCGACGAGCGTCAGAGCCAGTGTAGTACGATTCAATCTTAGTCCCGTACTGACTCTTTGCCTGTTTGATGGTTCGTCGGAGGCCATAGCGGCATTTCTTATAAACGTCCGGGTTAGAGTCCCGTTCCTTGAAAGCGGCAGCTCTACCCTTTAGCTCAGTGCGGATGTTGCCTGTAATCCATGGCTTCTGGTTGGGGTATGTACGTACGGTCACTGTGGGGACGACGTCATCGATGCACTTATTGATGAAGCCAGTGACTACTGTGGTGTACTCCTCAATGCTATCTGAAGAATCCCAGAACATGTTCCAGACTCTGCTAGCAAAACAGTCCTGTAGCTTAGCATCTGCGTCATCTGACCACTTTTTTATTAACCGAGTCACTGGTGCTTCCTGCTTTAGTTTTTGCTTATAAGCAGGAATCAGGAGGATAGAGTTATGGTCAGATTTGCCAAATGGAGGGCGAGGGAGAGCTTTGTATGCGTCTCTGTGTGTGGAGTAAAGGTGGTCTAGAGTATTTTTTCCTCTGGTTGCACATTTAACATGCTGGTAGAAATTAGGTAGAACTGATTTAAGTTTCCCTGCATTATAGTCCCCGGCCACGAGGAGCGCTGCCTCTGGATGAGCGTTTTCCTGTTTAGTTATGGCCTTATACAGCTCATTGAGTGCAATCTTAATGCCAGCATTGGTTTGTGGTGGTAAATAGACAGCTATGAAAAATATAGATGAAACTCTCTTGGTGAATAGTGTGGTCTACAGCTTTTCATAAGATATTCTACCTCAGGCGAGCAAAACCTTGAGACATCCTTAGTATTTGATTTTGTGCACTAGCTGTTGTTTACAAATATACACAGACCGCCACCCCTTGTCTTACCGGAGTCAGCCGTTCTATCCTGCTGATGTAGCGTATAGCCCCGCTAGCTTCATGTTGTCCATGTCGTCGTTCAGCCACGACTCGGTGAAACATAATATATTACAGTTTTTAATGTCCCGTTGGTAGGATAATAGTAATCTTAGGTCATCTCATTTATTTTCAAATGATTGAACATTGGCTAATAGGATTGATGTAAGAGGCAGTTTACTCGCTCGCCGTCAGATCCTTACAAGGCACCCCGACCTATGTCCACGATATCTCTCTCTTTCTCATGCGAATGACGGGGATTTTGGCCTTGTCGGGTGTCGGTAGGATATCATTCGCGTCCGACTTGTTGAAGAAAAAATCTTCGTCCAATACGAGGTGAGTAATCGCTGTCCTGATATCCAGAAGCTCTTTTTGGTTATAAGAGACAATGGCAGAAACATTATGTACAGAATACATTACAAATAATGCAGAAAAACACACATAATAGTACAATTGGTTAGAGGGCTGTAAAAACTATGAAATAACACATATGGAATCATGTAGTAACCAAAAAAGTGTTAAACAAATCAAAATATATTTTATGTTTCAGATTCTTCAAAGTAGCCACCCTTTGCCTTGATGACATCTTTGTATACTTTTGGCATCATGAGGAATGCTTTTCCAACAGTCTTGAAGGAGTTCCCACATATGCTGAGCTCTTGTTGGCTGCTTTTTCCTTCACTCTGCGGTCCAACTCATGCCAAACCATCTCAATTGGGTTGAGGTTGGGTGATTGTGGAGGCCAGGTCATCTGATGCAGCGCTCAATCACTCTCCTTCTTGGTCAAATAGCCCTTACACAGCCTGGAGGTGTGTTTTGGGTCATTGTCCTGTTAAGAAACAAATGATAGTCCCACTAAGCGCAAACCAGATGGGATGGCGTATCGCTGCAGAATGCTGTGGTAGCCATGCTGGTTAAGTGTGCCTTGAATTCTAAATAAATCCCTGACAGCGTCACCAGCAAAGCACCCCCACACCATCACACCTCCTCCTCCATGCTTCACGGTGGGAACCACACATGTGGAGATCATCCGTTCACCTACTCTGCGTCTCACAAAGACAAGGCGTTTGGAACCAAAAATCTCAAATTTGGACTCATCAGACCAAAGGACAGATTTCCACCGGTCTAATGTTCATTGCTCGTTTTTCTTGACCCAAGCAAGTCTCTTCTTATTTGTGTCCTTTAGTAGTGTTTTTTTTGCAGCAGTGGTTTGATTCACACAGTCTCCTCTGAACAGTTGATGTTGTGATGTGTCTGTTACTTGAACTCTGTGAAGCATTTATTTGGGCTGCAATCTGAGGTGCAGTTAACTCTAATGAACTTATCCTCTGCAGCAGTGGTAAATCTGGGTCTTCCTTTCCTGTGGCGGTCGTCATGAGAGTCAGTTTCATCATAGCGCTTGATGGTTTTTGCTACTTCACTTGAAGAAACGTTCAAAGTTCTTGAAATGTTCTGTATTGATTGACCTTCATGTCTTAAAGTAATGATGGACTGTCATTTCTCTTTGCTTATTTGAGCTGTTCTTACCATAATATGGACTTGGTCTTTTACGAAATAGGGCTATCTTCTGTATACCACCCCTACCTTGTCACAACACAACTGATTGGCTCAAATGCATTAAGAAATTCCACAAATTAACTTTTAAGAAGGTAAAGCTGTTAATTGAAATGCATTACAGGTGACTACCTCATGAAGCTGGTTGAGAGAATGCCAAGAGTGTGCAAAGCTGTCATCAAGGCAAAGGGGGGCTAGTTTGAAGAATCTCAAATATAAAATATATATTTGGATTTGTATATACATGATTCCGTATATTCCTCCCCAGTATGTCGAGACAGACAGGGGTATTCCCATGCTGTAGTTGCCTCTCCAGAAAGTTGGATTTATTTGTGGTCATTGCACTTTACTATTTGAATAAATCATAATGATCAAAAAAAGCTAATTGTGAACCAAAAACTAACGTGATCAGGTAAAAACATTTTACTGCCACTCTTGCAACCAATAAAACGTGTGTCTCACTGGCAAGTCAAACGGTGCAGTATCGAAGCCTGGTTAAACAAGATGTGAACTATTTTTGGGGCCTTTACTTAATTTTGTGTCTCTTGCAGGTTCCAGCAAGCCACTGCAGCCGAACTCAGCCACTCCATGTCCAGAAACGGGACTGATCCTTTACCCAACGGCCATGCACTACTCGGGTAAAACCTTGGAACCACGTCAGTCAGTCACGCACTTACTAACACACACACACTCTCTCCTCGCCATCTCTCTCTCGCTGAATAACTCGGTTTTTTTGTATCTAGTAATACAACCTTTAGCTTACAAAGCTTGACTGTGTATCTCTGCAGTGAGGTGAGAGGGTGTGACGATGCAGAGGACTTGGGAGAAGCAGCAGAACAAGAAGTGCCTCCACACAGAGACACTACTGCACACATCCCCCTGCAAAACTCCATACACTCCCCTGGTAGGTTTTGTGCTTTTGTGTGTGACAGCCCTGTATCCATGGGCTGCCAGTTACTCATCCCTGGCTTATAGTCTCCTTCATTAGGGTTCTGAAGTCCATTTGTTGTTGTCCTCCATCTGCAGAGCCCTTTCATAACAAGTCCAGGAGGGATATGGCCAGCTCTCCTGTGGTGTCCCAGAGCATTCTCAAAGCCACCCCAGCACCAGTGATGCCCCCTACTCTACCTAGGACCCCCCACTCTAGGTAAGCCACAGAGCTCGGTGTCCCAATCACAACACTGTTGTATCCCTTACACCATTACTGTTTCCCAATTGACAGCACTGTACTGCACCGCAACACTGTGTTTTAGCCTTGATCCAAGGATAGATTAGCCTAGATCATCATTATCAGCAATTTCAAGGTCAAAATAAAGTGTGTTGTCCATTTTTGTGGGCTGTGATAACATTAATACGTTATTGTCCAACATAGTGTACGCATATCCAGTACGTTGCAGGTGCTGGGTACACAAAGTAAACCAAAAATAGAGAATAGATCCCTGTCCACTGATGAATGCTCCTGCTGGGTCGAAACGTTGCACACAAAAAACATTGGGAGCATTCATTAGTGTGCGGGTATTTGTATTTATTAAGGATCCCCATTATCTGTATCTATTGCGGGTATCTATTCTTTATTTCATATGGGTACATTTTTACAGTCTTATTAACACATCTCATGAGCACTGTGTTATATTTTCAACAGCATCTCATGGTGCATGTTTTACCATATCTAGAAACATTTAGATTAGAAATACAGACTATTTTCATGAACAGAGCAGGCAGGGTGGAAATGCAATGCAACATGTCGGTGAACAGGTGAGGAAAGAAAATAAAGGAAAAGAGGGCGGAAAGAAGGGAAGGGGGAGCATGCGGCTGAGGTGGGCCTGGCCGGCACTGGGACTTGGCTTGGCGTTTGATGGACTAAATGAAGCTTTCTCCCGGGCTAGCGGCAAGGCTGACAGGAGTCAAGCTGCGTTCCATTAGTTGTCCTAGCAGGGACCCAGTAGCAGGTGTAATTGAACAGACTTCTGTGGGGAGGCTGTCTCTGTCTCTCTCTGCTTCAGTAATGATAAAGAGAGGAGTGAGAGAGGAGGGAGGGGGAGGATTGGGATAGGAGGGCGAGAGGAATGGGGGGAGAGGGAGTGGAGCACGAGGGAGAGTGGAATTAGTCACTGATTTGCGTGACACCAAGAAAAGGGAAGGAATTCATTACAAACGCCTCCCCACCTCTTGTGTGGAAAGATAATTAATGTGACAGTGTGTCTTCCCTCGTGTGTGTGTGTGTACGTCTTGCTTAGCTAGTATGGAATACTGTGATTTATTTTGATAAGGAAAGGGAACATGTTTCCTACTTTTTTCCTTTTTATTTCTGGCAAGTGTCTTTTTGTCTGTGCATATGAATATTACAATTTTCTTCAGGTGTGAACTTCAAATTTCCTTCTACTGGGAACATGAACATCCATAGCCTAGCCAACATGAAGCATAATGACTGCTTGTCTCTGACTCAGCCAGAAGGAAAGCTCTTCACAGTGTTCATAGAAATTGTTCGTAAATCTTAAACAATGTAATGTAATATGGTCCAAGTAACCACCACCATGCCAATCGAACAAACTCAAGCAGATGGCCATTAAAACCACTAAGGGAAATCATGGATACAGATAATTAATAATATGGAGTGGCTGCGGTTCTGGATTTTCTGGTATCCGACTTGCTGTTGCTGTCTGCTCATGCAGGATCCACGAGCCTACCTCCTTTCAGCTGCTGCTGAGTGCTCACTTACTTGTGATGCTGCCACTTGTACACAAACCAGCAGTCAATAGCGATTTAATGTTATTTATCATTAACCACGTTTATCGTATAAAAAAACTATCACAACAGCTGTGATGGAAACGGGTAGTTTCGGTACAATTTTATAAATGCAGACAGATAATTTGTGTTTACGACATGGTGGGATCTTTTTGTGTCTGTAAAATGTATTATGCGAAATATGGTGTGTGGTCCTCCCACTGACTCGGGAAACCATGTAGTTTATTAGGCTACAGATGAAATAAGTTATGATGAACTTCACAGGGTGGTGAAAGTGCACGGTGATCTTGATGCTCCTTTCCAATAAATATCGAGGGTCTTATTCTGGTGACATGATCGATGCTTGACTGCCGTTTTGACAAATACAAATATTATGGATAAAACGTATCCATAATAATCTCATCATGTAGACTAGTCTACCCGCACAGCCTACGCGCACTGTATCTGCAAGCTGATAGCTAGAGTTCATGTGCCAAGACCAGAGTAGGCACATTTGCTATTTAACAGTCTTTTTTGACAGAGATCTGTAGAGTTGAAAATGCGATGGAACCGCATTGAACTTTAGATTTACAGTTGAAGTCGGAAGTTTACATACACTTTAGCCAAATACATTTAAACTCAGTTTTTCACAATTTCTGACATTTAATCCAAGTAAGAATTCCCTGTCTTAGGTCAGTTAGGATCACCACTTTATTTTAAGAATTTGAAATGTCAGAATAAAAGTATAGAGAATGATTTATTTAAGCTTTTATTTATTTCATCACATTCCCAGTGGGTCAGAAGTTTACATACACTCAATTAGTATTTGGTAGCATTGCCTTTAAATTGTTTAACTTGGTTCAAACGTTGTGGGTAGCTTTTACACAAGCTTCCCACAATAGGTTGGGGGAATTTTGGCCCATTCCTCCTGACAGAGCTGGTGTAACTGAGTCAGGTTTGTAGGCCTCCTTCCTCACACACGCTTTTTCAGTTCTGCCCACACATTTTCTATAGGATTGAGGTCAGGGCTTTGTGATGGCCACTCCAATACCTTGACTTTGTTGTCCTTAAGCCATTTTGCCACAACTTTGGAAGTATGCTTGGGGTCATTGTCCATTTGGAAGACCCATTTGCGACCAAACTTTAACTTCCTGGCTGATGTCTTGAGATGTTGCTTCAATATATCCACATCATTTTCCTTCCTCATGATGCCATCTATTTTGTGAAGTGAACCAGCCGCTCCTGCAGCAAAGCACCCCCACAGCATGATGCTGCCACCCCCGTGCATCACGGTTGGGATGGTGTTCTTCAGCTTGCAAGCGTTCCCCTTTTTCCTCCAAACATAATGATGGTCATTATGGCCAAACAGTTCTATTTTTGTTTTATCAGACCAGAGGACATTTCTATAAAAAGTACGAACTTTTTCCCCATGTGCCGTTGCAAACCGTAGTCTGGCTTTTTTATGGCGGTTTTGGAGCAGTGGCTTCTTCCTTGCTGAGCGGCCTTTCAGGTTGTCGGTATAGGACTCTTTTTTTACTGTGGATATACAGTGGGAAAAAAAGTATTTAGTCAGCCACCAATTGTGCAAGTTCTCCCACTTAAAAAGATGAGAGAGGCCTGTCATTTTCATCATAGGTACATGTCAACTATGACAGTCAAATTGAGAAAAAAAATCCAGAAAATCATATTGTAGGATTTGTAATGAATTTATTTGCAAATTATGGTGGAAAATAAGTATTTGGTCAATAACAAAAGTTTCTCAATACTTTGTTATATACCCTTTGTTGGCAATGACACAGGTCAAACGTTTTCTGTAAGTCTTCACAAGGTTTTCACACACTGTTGCTGGTATTTTGGCCCATTCCTCCATGCAGATCTCCTCTAGAGCAGTGATGTTTTGTGGCTGTCGCTGGGCAACACGGACTTTCAACTCCCTCCAAAGATTTTCTATGGGGTTGAGATCTGGAGACTGGCTAGGCCACTCCAGGACCTTGAAATGCTTCTTACGAAGCCACTCCTTCGTTGCCCGGGCGGTGTGTTTGGGATCATTGTCATGCTGAAAGACCCAGCCACGTTTCATCTTCAATGCCCTTGCTGATGGAAGGAGGTTTTCACTCAAAATCTCACGATACATGGCCCCATTCATTCTTTCCTTTACACGGATCAGTCGTCCTGGTCCCTTTGCAGAAAAACAGCACCAAAGCATGATGTTTCCACCCCCATGCTTCACAGTAGGTATGGTGTTCTTTGGATGTAACTCAGCATTCTTTGTCCTCCAAACACGACGAGTTGAGTTTTTACCAAAAAGTTCTATTTTGGTTTCATCTGACCATATGACATTCTCCCAATCCTCTTCTGGATCATCCAAATGCACTCTAGCAAACTTCAGACGGGCCTGGACATGTACTGGCTTAAGCAGGGGGACATGTCTGGCACTGCAGGATTTGAGTCCCTGGCGGCGTAGTGTGTTACTGATGGTAGGCTTTGTTACTTTGGTCCCAGCTCTCTGCAGGTCATTCACTAGGTCCCCCCGTGTGGTTCTGGGATTTTTGCTCACCGTTCTTGTGATCATTTTGACCCCACGGGGTGAGATCTTGCGTGGAGCCCCATATCGAGGGAGATTATCAGTGGTCTTGTATGTCTTCCATTCCCTATAATTGCTCCCACAGTTGATTTCTTCAAACCAAGCTGCTTACCTATTGCAGATTCAGTCTTCCCAGCCTGGTGCAGGTCTACAATGTTTTTTTTTTTTGACAGCTCTTTGGTCTTGGCCATAGTGGAGTTTGGAGTGTGACTGTTTGAGGTTGTGGACAGGTGTCTTTTATACTGATAACAAGTTCAAACAGGTGCCATTAATACAGGTAACGAGTGGAGGACAGAGGAGCCTCTTAAATAAGTTGTTACAGGTCTGTGAGAGCCAGAAATCTTGCTTGTTTGTAGGTGACCAAATACTAGTTTTCCACCATAATTTGCAAATAAATTCATTAAAAATCCTACAATGTGATTTTCAGGATTTTTTTTCTCAATTTGTCTGTCATAGTTGACGTGTACCTATGATGAAAATTACAGGCCTCTCTCATCTTTTTAAGTGGGAGAACTTGCACAATTGGTGGCTGACTAAATACTTTTGAGCTGGTGTAACTGAGTCAGGTTTGTAGGCCTCCTTGCTCGCACACGCTTTTTCAGTTCTGCCCTCACATTTTCTATAGGATTGAGGTCAGGACTTTGTGATGGCCACTCCAATACCTTGACTTTGTTCTCCTTAAGCCATTTTGGCACAACTTTGGAAGTATGCTTGGGGTCATTGTCCAAGACCCATTTGCGACTAAGCTTTAACTTCCTGACTGATGTCTTGCTTCAATATATCCACATAATTTTCCTTCCTCATGATGCCATCTATTTTGTGAAGTGAACCAGTCCCTCCTGC